AATAGTTCACCACTTTAGCACCACCGGTGTGTTGAAGAGTGAATCCACAACATTTACAGTGGCGAATTGCCCGGTGATGCTGGATGTAATTACCAGCGAAACGTCGTACTCAAAACTGTAAATGTTGTGGATTCACTCTTCAACACACCGGTGGTGCTAAAGTAGTGAACTATTTGTCTTTTGTTAAACGTGACACTTTTTTTGCTGATTGGCCGTGTCGGGTGGTGGAGGGTTACGACACATTTATAAATAAACGCGATCTAACCCAAAAACCTTTATTATGAATAATCACTCGATACTACGCTTCCAAGCAGTACTACGCCTGTAGCTGTCACAACGGTTAACATAATTGTTATTTCTCTCAATTGTAATAGATTCTCTAATTAGCCTTGGCCAGTAGTAACCGGTTTTGCACGGAACTTCAACATTGCCAAAATAAATTTAGTGTCCTCGTTGGCACGCGTGTTCTGCCACTCACCCACATTTGTGTGTGGGAGTATTTAAAATTCCTTTGGTGTTCTTTTAGTCTCGCGCTGATCATTTATCCCGCCTGACCAACACAGCATTTGCCGCAGGAGCAATTAATCCAGCACACACCTTCTGTTTATAGCTTCTGTAATACATCTTTAGTACCAGATATTAGGTTTTTTTTATTTTATGTACCATGCTAAGTCTCACTCGGATGTTTTGTTTTAAAAAAAAATTTGGCCAGTTTATCAGTTACTTCCGCAATGTACGGTATTTTAATAGTTGCAATTGCTTTATTGGGCTATTTCATTTGGTTTTGCCATTCAGTGCCTTGTTGATTTGTGCATCATTGTAACCGTTCAATTGCAGCGCTTCTTTAACGTGTTTAATCTCATTCCTCAAACTTTCACCACTCACTCCTCAGACTTTCACCACCTGACACTTTCTTTGCCCAATGTATGAGCGCCTTGATGAGAGAGGATTTCCTGCGGGGTGATGGTGTGACTGCATTCGGTAAACGCTGTTTGTTATTTTACCGTTTCGGTCGCGCCCGAGCAAAATATCCAGAAATGGGAGAGTTCTATCAACCTCCACTTCCATGGTGAACTGGAAGGATGGGTTTTGCGAGTTGAGATGATGAGTGAGTGGACTTTGTATGATCTCCCCGTGTTCTACAGAGGGAGTGGAGTTTGTAAGATCTCCCCATTCAACAGAGTATGAGTGGGGTTTGTATGATCTCCCCGTGTTCTACAGAGGGAGTGGAGTTTGTAAGATCTCCCCATTCAACAGAGTATGAGTGGGGTGTGTATGATCTCCCCGTGTTCTACAGAGGGAGTGGAGTTTGTAAGATCTCCCCATTCAACAGAGTATGAGCGGGGTTTGTATGATCTCCCCGTGTTCTACAGAGGGAGTGGAGTTTGTAAGATCTCCCCATTCAACAGAGTATGAGTGGGGTTTGTATGATCTCCCCGTGTTCTACAGAGGGAGTGAGTGGAGTTTGTATGATCTCCCTTTTCTACAGGGTATGAGTGAGTGGGGTTTGTATGATCTCCCCGGTTCTACAGAGGGAGTGCAGTTTGTATGATCTCCCCATTCTATAGAGTATGAGTGAGTGGGGTTTGTATGATCTCCCCCTGTTCTACAGAGTGGAGTTTGTATGATCTCCCCATTCTACAGAGTAAAAGGGAGTGGAGTTAGTACAATCTAGATGGTGCTACAACTACGCCTTTCTGGGTAAAAATCAACGCTGAGCCGCTTTGTGTGTTCCGAGATATGACGGTGAACGGGAGCCCACCCCACCCTGCGTCTTGCAGACGTCTGGGAATGGGTTCGGGTTCAGAAACGTTCAGCTGCCTTAGTTTCAGCGGCTGTTCATTTAGCGATGGTGGTGGCGACCATGGCAGTGGCTGAATCTGGCCGGATCGAGAATGAACCTTAAGCATCCGGGCTAGGTAAGTGTGACCCTTTGGGAAATTACTTCAAATGGGTCAGCAGGAGCCACATTTTGGGAAATTGCAATCCTTTAAAATTGAAAGACATTTGGGACGTCATGAACCAAGAGAATTGAGAGACGCTTGGGACGTCATGGACCAAGAGAATTGAGAGACCTTTGGGACGTCATGGACCAAGAAAATTGAGACGCTTGGGACGTCATGGATCAAGATAATTGAGAGACGCTTGGGACGTCATGGATCAAGAGAATTGAGACCCTTGGAACACCATGGACCAAGAGAATTGAGAGACGCTTGGGACGTCATGGACCAAGATAATTGAGAGACGCTTGGGACGTCATGGACCAAGAGAATTGAGAGACCTTTGGGACGTCATGGACCAAGAGAATTGAGACCTTTGGGACGTCATGGACCAAGAGAATTGAGAGACCTTTGGGACGTCATGGACCAAGAGAACTGAGACGCTTGGGACGTCATGGACCAAGATAATTGAGAGACTTGGGACGTCATGGACCAAGAGAACTGAGAGACTTGGGACGTCATGGACCAAGATAATTGAGAGACCTTTGGGACGTCATGGACCAAGAGAATTGAGACGCTTGGGACGTCATGGACCAAGATAATTGAGAGACGCTTGGGACGTCATGGATCAAGAGAATTGAGACCCTTGGAACACCATGGACCAAGAGAATTGAGAGACGCTTGGGACGTCATGGACCAAGAGAATTGAGAGGCTTGGGACGTCATGGACCAAGAGAATTGAGAGGCTTGGGACATTATGGACCAAGAGAATTGAGAGACCTTTGGGACGTCATGGACCAAGAGAATTGAGAGACTTGGAACGTCATGGACCAAGAGAATTGAGACGCTTGGGACGTCATGGACCAAGAGAATTGAGAGACTTGGGACATCATGAACCAAGAGAATTGAGAGACCTTTGGGACGTCATGGACCAAGAGAATTGAGAGACTTGGGACGTCATGGACCAAGAGAATTGAGAGACTTGGGACGTCATGGACCAAGAGAATTGAGAGACTTGGGATCCCATGGACCAAGAAAATTGAGACGCTTGGGACGTCATGGACCAAGATAATTGAGAGACATGGTACATCATGGACCAAAAGGATTGAGAAGCTTGGGATGTCATAGACCAAGGAAATTGAGACGCTTGGGATCCCATTGATCAAGAAAATTGAGACGCTTGGGATCCCATGGACCAAGAGAATTGAGAGACGCTTGGGACGTCATGGACCAAGAGAATTGAGAGACTTGGGACGTCATGGACCAAGAGAGCTGAGAGGCTTGGGATGCCATGGACCAAGAGAATTGAGAGACTTGGGATGCCATGGACCAAGAAAATTGAGACACTTGGGACGTCATGGACCAAGAGAATTGAGAGACTTGGGACGTCATGGACCAAGAGAATTGAGACACTTGGGACGTCATGGACCAAGAGAATTGAGAGACGCTTGGGACGTCATGGACCAAGAAAATTGAGACACTTGGAACGTCATGGACCAAGAGAACTGAGAGACTTGGGACGTCATGGACCAAGAGAACTGAGAGACGCTTGGGACGTCATGTACCAAGAGAATTGAGACGCTTGGGACGCCATGGACCAAGAGAATTGAGAGACTTGGGATGTCATAGACCAAGATAATTGAGACGCTTGGGATGCCAGAGACCAACAGAATTGAGATGCTTGGGACCCCATTGATCAAGAAAATTGAGACGCTTGGGATCCCATGGACCAAGAAAATTGAGACGCTTGGGACGTCATGGACTAATAGAATTGAGAGACTTGGTACACAATGGACCAAAAGGATTGAGAAGCTTGGGATGCCATAGACCAAGGAAATTGAGAAGCTTGGGATGCCATAGACCAAGAAAATTGAGACGCTTGGGATCCCATAGACCAAGAGAATTGAAAGACGCTTGGGACGACATGGACCAAGAGAATTGAGACGCTTGGGACGTCATGGACCAAGATAATTGAGAAACTTGGGACGTCATAGACCATGAGAATTGAGAGACTTGGGACGTCATGGACCAAGAGAATTGAGAGACGCTTGGGACGTCATGGACCAAGAGAATTGAGAGACGCTTGGACGTCATGGACCAAAATAATTGAGAAACTTGGGACGTCATGGACCAAAATGATTGAGATGGTTGGGATGCCATCGACCAAGAGAATTGAGACGCTTGGTATCCCATTGATCACGAGAACTGAGATGCTTTGGGACGTTATGAACCAAGAGAACCAAGATACTTTGGACGTCATGGACCAAGAGAATTGAGAGGCTTGGCATGGCCATGGCCCAAGACAACCGAGACCCTTGGGATGTCGTGAACCAAGAGAACTGAAAAGCTTGGCAGGCCGTGGACCAAGAGAATTGAGACCTTCGGGATGTCATGAACCATGACAATTGAGAGACTCGGGACGTCGTGAACCAAGAGAATTAAGTAGACGTCCGACGGAAAAAATATTTTTTTTACACAAACAATTTTAATTGTCCCACGCAGGGTAACGGCTTCCGAAGTCATGAACCAGGTGGGGCGAGCTCTCCGCTTCGCCTCGACGTGCGCCAGACGTTTGCGAGCGAGGCGACAACAGGCTTTCGGAATGGACGCGAGACATTTGAAACGAGGTCAGGCGGTCGGCGAGAACACGACCGCGGGAGCGCGACCGTGACCCGGAGACGCCGGTTAAATGAGAACCACCGGCGTTTCACCGACATCGTCGTCGTTTTTGAGTGGCCGTCAACGGCAGACCCCCTGGTGGGGGACACCCCCCCGCCGCCCCATCGCCTCGTCGCCAAGGCAAGGCCGGCCGGCCGGCTACAATAAAGAGGGGAGCGGGTTTCCCCCGACGGTTTCCGTAGGGCATCCCACACGGCCCAACGTGGCGCCTTCCGACCACCGCGTCCGGAGGAGGGGGAGGGGGTGGTGAGGGGCAGGGGCGGGCGGGCGGGTGGGGTGGGTGGGGGGGGGGTGAGAGACGGACGGAGGTCATCCACGCGCCGAAGCGTTGTTTGAACGACGGAGACGGACGAGAGAGTGATAATCGACGGGGAGACGTACTTTTCCGTTCAGGTCTTTGGCGGCATCTTTGGCATCGTCGGGATTCTCAAAAGTGACGAAAGCGAAGCCTCGGGACCTGTTAGTCTCGCGGTCCTTCAGCAACAGCACTGACGGAGCAGATCAACGAGAACAAGGTGCGCAGAGACGCATCACGACGGGGGACCGCCGGGGGGTCTCTCACGGCGCCGCCACCACCGCTACCACCACCGCTAACACTAACACCACTACCACCACCGCTAACACTAACACCACTACCACCACCGCTAACACTAACACCACCACCGCTAACACTAACACCACCACCACCACCGCTACCACCACCGCTAACACTAACACCACTACCACCACCGCTAACACTAACACCGCTACCACCACCGCTAACACTAACACCACTACCACCACCGCTAACACTAACACCACCACCGCTAACACTAACACCGCTACCACCACCGCTAACATTACCACCACCGCTAACACTAACACCACCACCGCTAACACTAACACCACCGCTAACACTAACACCACCACCGCTAACACTAACACCACCACCTCTAACACTAACACCACCGCTAACACTAACACCACCACCACCGCTAACACTAACACCACCACCACCGCTAACACTACCACCACCGCTAACACTAACACCACTACCACCACCGCTAACACTACCACCACCGCTAACACTACCACCACCGCTAACACTACCACCATCGCTAACACTACCACCACCGCTAACACTACCACCACCGCTAACACTACCACCATCGCTAACACTACCACCACCGCTAATACTACCACCACCGCTAACACTACCACCACCGCTAACACTACCACCACCGCTAACACTACCACCACCGCTAACACTACCACCGCCATCACAAACACTACCACCACCACTAACACCACCACCGCCATCACTAACACCACCACCGCTAACACTACCACCACCGCTAACACTACCACCATTGCTAACACTACCACCACCGCTAACACTAGCACCGCCATCACAAACACTACCGCCACTAACATCACCACCGCCATCACTAACACTACCACTGCTAACACTACCACCACTGCTAACACTACCACCACCGCTAACACTACCACGATTGCTAACACTACCACCATTGCTAACACTACCACCATTGCTAACACTACCACCATTGCTAACACTACCACCGCCACTAACATCACCACCGCCACTACTAACACTACCACTGCTACCACCACCACTAACACCACCCCACTGCTAACACTACCACCACCACTAACACCACCACCGCTAACACTACCACTGCTAACACTACCACCACTGCTAACACTACCACCGCCAACACAAACACTACCACCACCACTAACACCACCACCGCTAACACTATCACCACCACTAACACCACCACGGCTAACACTACCACCATCACTAACACTACCACCATCACTAACACCACCACCATCACTAACACCACCACCGCTATCATTAACACTACCACCATCGCTAACACTATGACCATTGCTAACACTACCACCACCACAAACACTACCACCACCACCGCTAACACTACCACTAACACCACCACAGCTAAGACAACCACCTCCACTACCACCACCGCTAAACACTACCACCACCGCTAACAACACCACCACTGCCACAACCGCTAACACTACCACCACTAACACCACCACTACCGCCACCACCACCGCCAAGACTTCCACCACTATGAACACTTCCACCACTACCGTTAACACTACCACCATAACTAACATTACCACTAACAATACCACTAACACTACCACCGCTAATACCACCACTTGCACCACAAACACTATTATGACTAACACTACCACTAACACTTCCCTCCACCGTCACTACCGCTAACACTCCCTCCACCACCACTACCGCTAAAACTATCGCCACTATCACCACCACAAACAATACTACAACTAACACTACCAACACCACTACCTCTAACACTACCACCACCGCCACCACCGTCGCCACCACCTGGTGCACCGTTGCCGTGAGCTGTGCCTCCTGGCTCCATGGTCTCCGCACGTTCCTTGAAACATGGGACGCTTCTCAGAGATGGTTAATTGCACTGGTTGAACTGGTTGCACTGATTGGACTGCTTGCACTGGTTGCAGTGGTTGCACTGATTGGATTGGTTGCACCAACTGGACTGGTTGCACGGACTACAGGAAGAGTTGACGGGAGTGAGATGGCTGAATGGAAGCCAAACGTCCAAGGATGTGAAATAAGAATACTCTTGTTCTTCAATTTGATAGAGACCCACAGACTCACACAGGAAACCACAGACTCACACAGAGACCCACAGACACCGATAAACTCACACGGATAACCGGTGTTTGTGTTTAGCTTGTCGTCCTTCCCCCACACCTCCGATTAACACGGTTGGTTCAGTACGGTGCGAAAGACGTTCAAAATGCATACAGACACCCGCAGATTCACACAGAAACCCACAGACTCACACAGAAACCCAAAGACACGCACAGACTCACACAGAATCCCACAGACTCACACAGAAACCCAAAGACACCCACAGACTCACACAGAAACCCACAGACTCCCACAGACTCACACAGTGACGTACAGACTCAGTCAGACAAATCTATAAATTCACACAGAATCAAAGAGACCCACAGACTCACGAAAAGACCCAGACACACACAGGGGCCTAGAGGGTGGTATGGCCGGCATGGTTGGCATGGTTGGTATGGGACGAGAATTGAGATGGGCTCCACCCCTGCCCAGTGGCCTTCTTCTTAGCCCGGGCACCTGGGGGGGCCTCTCCACCCTGGGGGGGCCTCTCCACCCTGGGGAGAGGAGGGGGGCCGGGCGCTTCGGTGCAGTTGCACCACCTGCGCACTGCATGAGCTGCGTGCACTGGGCCAGGCATGGCCTTGCTAGGGCCCCTCTCCTTCTAGTGTGGCCGCCAGGCCCGCCAGGCCCGCCAGGCCCGCCAGGCCCGCCAGGCCCGCCAGGCCCGGTGTGCTTTGTGTATATACCGTATGTGTATGCGGTGTGTGTATATGCGGTGTGTGTATATGCGGTGTGTATATGCGGTGTGTATATGCGGTGTGTATATGCGGTGCGTGTATATGCGGTGCGTGTATATGCTGTGTGTATATGCTGTGTGTATATGCGGTGTGTATATGCGGTGTGTATATGCTGTGTGTATATGCTGTGTGTATGTGCAGTGTGTGTATATGCGGTGTGTATATGCGGTGTGTATGTGCGGTGTGTATATGCTGTGTGTATGTGCGGTGTGTGTATATGCGGTGTGTATATGCTGTGTATATGTGCGGTGTGTGTATAGGCGGTGTGTGTATATGCGGTGTGTATATGCGGTGTGTATATGCTGTGTGTGTATATGCGGTGTGTATATGCGGTGTGTGTGTGTATGTGCGGTGTGTGTGTGTATGTGCGGTGTGTATATGCGGTGTGTATGTGCGGTGTGTGTATATATGCGGTGTGTGTATATATGCGGTGTGTATATGCGGTGTGTGTATATGCTGTGTGTATATGCTGTGTGTATGTGTGGTGTGTGTATATGCGGTGTGTGTATATGCTGTGTGTGTATATGCTGTGTGTATATGTGCGGTGTGTGTATATGCTGTGTGTGTATATGCTACATGTGTATATGCGGTGTGTGTATATGCGGTGTGTATATGCGGTGTGTGTATATGCTGTGTGTGTATATGCTACATGTGTATATGCGGTGTGTGTATATGCGGTGTGTATATGCGGTGTGTGTATATGCGGTGTGTGTATATGCGGTGTGTGTATATGCGATGTGTGTATATGCTGTGTGTATATGCTGTGTGTATATGTGCGGTGTGTGTATATGCTGTGTGTGTATATGCTACATGTGTATATGCTATGTGTGTATATGCGGTGTGTATATGCGGTGTGTGTATATGCTGTGTGTATATGCCGTGTGTATATGCTGTGTGTATATACCGTATGTGTATGCGGGTGTGTAAATATGGTGTGTGTATATGCGGTGTGTGTATGCTGTGTGTGTATATGCGGTGTGTATATGCTGTGTGTATATGCTGTGTGTGTATATGCGGTGTGTGTATATGCTGTGTGTATATATGCTGTGTGTATATATGCTGTGTGTATATGCGGTGCGTGTATATGCTGTGTGTATATGCGGTGTGTGTATATGCTGTGTGTATATGCAGTGTGTGTATATGCTGTGTGTATATGCGGTGTGTGTATATGCGGTGTGCATATGCGGTGTGTGTATATGCAGTGTATATATATGCTGTGTGTATATGCGGTGTGTATATGCGGTGTGTGTATATGCGGTGCGTGTATATGCTGTGTGTATATGCGGTGTGTGTATGTGCGGTGTGTATATGCTGTGTGTATGTGCGGTGTGTGTATATGCTGTGTGTATATGCGGTGTGTGTATATGCGGTGTGAGTGAGCGTAGTGAGCGAGGTGGTGAGCGAGGTGGTGAGCGAGGCGGCGAGCCAAGTGGTGAGCGAGGTGGTGAGCGAGGTGGTGAGCGAGGTGGTGAGCGAGGTGGTGAGCGAGGCGGCGAGCCAAGTGGTGAGCGCTGCCTCCGCTCACCCTGCGCCACACGGCCGTATTTCCCGAACACGTCCTGCAGCGAGCGCTCGTCCGTGCCAAAGTGCAGGCCGCCCACAAACAGCTTGCCGTGGTTCTCCTGCTCCGACATCCTGGTCAGTCTACACAGCACACACACACACACCTACTATACACACACAGCACGCACACATAGTACACACACACACACAGCACACACACCGTATATACACACAGCACGCACACACATAGTACACACACACCTACTATATACACACACAGCACGCACACACAAACATAGTATACACAGCACGCACACATAGTACACACACACAGCTACTATATACACACACACAGCACGCACACACATTGTATATATAGACACAGCACGCACACATAGTACACACACACAGCTACTATACACACACAGCTACTATACACACAGCACGCACACACACCGTATATATAGACACACAGCACGCACACACATAGTACACACACACACCTACTATACACACACAGCACGCACACACACCGTATATACACAGCACGCACACATAGTACACACACACAGCTACTATACACACAGCACGCACACACACCGTATATACACAGCACGCACACATAGTACACACACACAGCACGCACACATAGTACACACACACACAGCTACTATACACACAACACGCACACACACCGTATATACACAGCACGCACACACATAGTACACACACACCTACTATATACACACACAGCACGCACACACATAGTATACACACACACACCTAGTACACACACAGCATGCACACACAAACATAGTATACACACACACCTAGTACACACACACAACATGCACACACAAACATAATATACACACACACCTAGTACACACACACATAAATTGATTTGCATTTTAATAACATTTTGACAAGCGTGTTTCTAGATTTTTGTTGTTGTTATTCTGTCTCTCACTGTTCAAATAAACCTACCATTAAAATTATAGACTGATCATTTCTTTGTCAGTGGGCAAACGTACAACATCAGCAGGGGATCAAATACTTTTTTCCCTCACTGTACACACACACACCTAGTACACACACACACCTAAGTACACCTAGTATCTTAATTGGGTCTTTCGGTAAAGCCACGTATACAGTGAGGGAAAAAAGTATTTGATCCCCTGCTGATTTTGCACATTTCCCCACTGACAAAGAAATGCTCAGTCTATAATTTTAATGGTAGGTTTATTTGAACAGTGAGAGACAGAATAACAACAAAATCCAGAAAAATGCATGTCAAAAATGTTATAAATTGATTTGCATTTTAATGAGGGAAATAAGTATTTGACCCCCTCTCAATCAGAAAGATTTCTGGCTCCCAGGTGTCTTTTATACAGGTAACAAGCTGAGATTAGGAGCACACTCTTAAAGGCAGTGCTCCTAATCTCAGCTTGTTACCGGTATAAAAGACACCTATCCACAGAAGCAATAAATCAATCAGATTCCAAACTCTCCACCATGGCCAAGACCAAAGAGCTCTCCAAGGATGTCAGGGACAAGATTGTAGACCTACACAAGGCTGGAATGGGCTACAAGACCATTGCCAAGCAGCTTGGTGAGAAGGTGACAACAGTTGGTGCGATTATTCGCAAATGGAAGAAACACAAAAGAACTGTCAATCTCCCTCGGCCTGGGGCTGCATGCAAGATCTCACCTCGTGGAGTTGCAATGATCATGAGAACGGTGAGGAATCAGCCCAGAACTACACGGGAGGATATTGTCAATGATCTCAAGGCAGCTGGGACCATAGTCACCAAGAAAACAATTGGTAACACACTACGCCGTGAAGGACTGAAATCCTGCAGCGCCCGCAAGATCTCCCTGCTCAAGAAAGCACATATACATGCCCGTCTGAAGTTTGCCAATGAACATTTGAATGATTCAGAGGACAACTGGGTGAAAGTGTTGTGGTCAGATGAGACCAAAATGGAGCTCTTTGGCATCAACTCAACTCGCCGTGTTTGGAGGAGGAGGAATGCTGCCTATGACCCCAAGAACACCATCCCCACCGTCAAACATGGAGGTGGAAACATGCTTTGGGGGTGTTTTTCTGCTAAGGGGACAGGACAACTTCACCACATCAAAGGGACGATGGACGGGGCCATGTACCGTCAAATCTTTGGTGAGAACCTCCTTCCCTCAGCCAGGGCATTGAAAATGGGTCGTGGATGGGTATTCCAGCATGACAATGACCCAAAACACACGGCCAAGGCAACAAAGGAGTGGCTCCAGAAGAAGCATATTAAGGTCCTGGAGTGGCCTCGCCAGTCTCCAGACCTTAATCCCATAGAAAATATGTGGAGGGAGCTGAAGGTTCGAGTTGCCAAACGTCAGCCTCGAAACCTTAATGACTTTGAGAAGATCTGCAAAGAGGAGTGGGACAAAATCCCTCCTGAGATGTGTGCAAACCTGGTGGCCAACTACAAGAAACGTCTGACCTCTATGATTGCCAACAAGGGTTTTGTCACCAAGTACTAAGTCATGTTTTGCAGAGGGGTCAAATACTTATTTCCCTCATTAAAATGCAAATCAGTTCATAAAAATTTTGACATGCGTTTTTCTGGATTTTGTTATTGTTATTCTGTCTCTCACTGTTCAAATAAACCTACCATTAAAATTATAGACTGATCATTTCTCCGTCAGTTGGCAAACATACAAAATCAGTAGGGGATGAAATACTTGATCCCCTACATAGCATGCACTAAACTATATTTACACTCAACCTACTGGACACGTCAAAAAGAGCTTCATAGCTCATCGGATTTCTCCAGGATAAATAAAGATTCTGATTTGTATTGTATCGGCTGTCAGGCCCCACTGAGCTGCAAAGCGACCACCTGGCCATCACAACAGAGAGCTCAGTGAAGCTAAGGCCCACACAGACCCACAGAGACCCACACAGACCCACACAGACCCATACTTATAGAGACCCACAGAGACCTACAGAGAACTATACTCAGAGACCCACACAGACCCACACTCATAGAGACCCACACAGACCCATACTTATAGAGACCCACAGAGACCTACAGAGACCCATACTCAGAGACCCACACAGACCAGCACAGACCCAACTCAGAAACCCACAGAACCATACTCACAGAGACCCACACAGACCCATACACAGAGAGACCCACAGAACCATACTCACAGAGACCCACACAGACCCATACTCAGAGAGACTCAGAGACCCACACAGACCCATACTCATAGAGGCCCACACAGACCCATACTCAAAGAGACTCACAGAGACCCACACAGACCCATACTCATAGAGACCCACACAGACCCATACTCACAGAGACCCACACAGAGCCATACTCACAGTGGCCCACACAGACCCATACTCAGAGAGACTCACAGAGACCCACATAGACCCATACTCAGAGAGACTCATAGAGGCCCACACAGACCCATACTCATAGAGGCCCACACAGACCCATACTCATAGAGGCCCACACAGACCCAAACTCAGAGGCCCACACAGACCCATACTCATAGAGGCCCACACAGACCCATACTCACAGAGACCCACACAGACCCATACTCATAGAGGCCCACATCGACCCATACTCATAGAGGCCCACACAGAGACCCACACAGACCCAAACTCACAGAGGCCCACACAGACCCATACTCACAGAGACCCACACAGACCCATACTCATAGAGGCCCACATCGACCCATACTCATAGAGGCCCACACAGACCCATACTCACAGAGGCCCACACAGACCCATACTCATAGACGCCCACACAGACCCATACTCATAGAGACTCACAGAGACCCATACTCATAGAGACCCACAGAGACCCACACAGACCCAAACTCATAGAGACTCACACAGACCCATACTCATAGAGGCCCACACAGACCCATACTCATAGAGACCCACACAGAGGCCCACACAGACCCACACTCACAGAGACCCACACAGACCCATACTCATAGACGCCCACACAGACCCATACTCATAGAGACCCACACAGAGGCCCACACAGACCCACACTCACAGAGACCCACACAGACCCACACTCACAGAGACCCACACAGACCCACACTCACAGAGACCCACACAGACCCATACTCATAGAGACCCACACAGACCCATACTCATAGAGGCCCACACAGAGACCCACACAAACCCAAACTCACAGAGGCCCACACAGACCCATACTCACAGAGGCCCACACAGACCATAATCATAGAGGCCCACACAGACCCATACTCATAGAGGCCCACACAGACCCATACTCATAGACGCCCACACAGACCCATACTCATAGAGACTCACAGAGGCCCACACAGACCCATACTCATAGAGACACACACAGACCCACACTCACAGAGACCCACACAGACCCATACTCACAGAGACCCACACAGACCCATACTCATAGAGACCCACACAGAGGCCCACACAGACCCATACTCATAGAGACACACACAGACTCATACTCATAGAGGCCCACACAGACCCACACTCACAGAGACCCACACAGACCCATACTCACAGAGACCCACACAGACCCATACTCATAGAGACCCACACAGAGGCCCACACAGACCCATACTCATAGAGACCCACACAGACCCATACTCATAGAGACCCACACAGACCCATACTCATAGAGACCCACACAGACCCAAACTCACAGAGACCCACACAGACCCATACTCACAGAGACCCACAGGGACCCAAAGAGACCAGCGGCGGCAGCAGCGCGAGGGAGAAGAGCGACAGGGAGAGGAGAGAGAGCGAGGAGAGCGGGCAGAGAGCGAGAGAGAGGGGCGAGAGGGAGAAGAGACATCTCCAGGGGCCGGTCAACGTTGCTCTTCGGCTACGCCAAGCTCGCCGTGTACAGGGCGAGGAAGGTGGCCCTGGAGGGGCAATGTCCGGCCAGCAGCCTGGGCATCTTCCGCGCTCTGGTCGGAGCCAGGGTGTGTGGCCGGAGTTCCGCCGTGCGCGGCTGAGCCACGCCGTGCCGGCCGACCCACGCCGTGCCGGCCTTCAAGGAGCAAGTGGGCGCCGGAGGAGGCCGCGTGCTCGGTGGCAGATGACGGTAGAGAGCTCTGTTGCATGCAGATTGTGAGCTACCCGTCGGAGGCCGTTTGACTGTGGGAAGGGCTGCGTGCAGGTGCATCACTTGTCGTAGTTATACAAAAAAATAGAGTGAGAGAGTGAACGAGAGAGAGCGAAATGGAGGAAGAGAGGGGCAGAGAGGGGGGTAGAGAGAGAGGGAAGGGGTAAGGAGAGCAAAGAAAAAACAAAAAACCGAAATGATGAACGGAGCAAAGTGCCGACTACACCGAGCATCTTCTTGTTTCCTCTGATCGTAAAAAAAGAGAGAGAGCGAGAGGAGGAAGAGAAGATAGAGAGCGAGAGGAGAGGAGAGAGAGAGGAGAGAGCGAGAGGAGAGGAGAGAGAGAGGAGAGAGAGCGAGAGGAGAGAGAGGAGAGAGAGGAGAGAGAGTGAGAGGAGAGCGAGGGGAGAGCGAGGTGAGAGCGAGGAGAGAGAGAGCGAGGGGAGAGAGGAGAGAGAGTGAGAGGAGAGAGAGGAGAGAGAGGAGAGAGAGTGAGAGGAGAGAGAGAGCGAGGGGAGAGAGAGCGAGGGGAGAGCGAGGGGAGAGCGAGGGGAGGAAGAGAAGAGAGAGAGGAGAGATAGAGGAGAGATAGAGGAGAGAGAGCGAGGGGAGAGCGAGAGGAGGAAGAGAAGAGAGAGAGCGAGGGGAGAGAGAGCGAGGGGAGAGAGAGGAGAGAGAGAGAGAGCGAGGGGAGAGCGAGGGGAGAGAGAGAGAGCGAGAGGAGAGAAAGGAGAGAGAGAGCGAGGGGAGAGAGAGGAGAGAGAGCGAGGGGAGAGAAAGGAGAGAGAGAGCGAGGGGAGAGAGAGGAGAGAGAGCGAGGGGAGAGAGAGAGAGGAGAGAGAGGAGAGAGGGCGAGAGGAGAGAGAGCGAGAGGAGAGAGAGGAGAGAGCGAGGGGAGAGCGAGGAGAGAGAGAGAGCGAGGGGAGAGCGAGGAGAGAGAGAGCGAGGGGAGAGAGCGAGAGGAGAGAGAGCGAGAGGAGAGAGAGGAGAGAGAGCGAGGGGAGAGCGAGGAGAGAGAGCGAGAGGAGAGAGAGGAGAGAGAGAGGAGAGAGAGAGCGAGATGAGAGAGAGGTGAGAGAGCAGAGAGAGAAGAGAGAGAGCGAGAGGAGAGAGCGGAGAGAGAGAGGAGAGAGTGCGAGAGGAGGGAGAGAGAGCGAGAGAGGTGCCCGAGTCTCTGCTCGAGAGGAGGGGGAGGAGGAGGAAGGCATTCCAGCCATGCGGGCCAAGCAGCGATTCCGCGATCGCTTGGCCCGGCGGGTGACGCGCAAGCTGAGCTACAAGCCCGCCGAGGCGTACACGTCAGGCGGTACGTCAGGCGGTACGTGAGGCAGTACGTCAAGTGGTACGTCAAGCAGTACGTCAGGCGGTACGTGAGGCAGTACGTCAGGCGGTACGTGAGGCGGTACGTCAAGCAGTACGTCAAGCAGTACGTCAAGTGGTACGTGAGGCAGTATGTGAGGCAGTATGTGAGGCAGTACGTGAGGCAGTACGTGAGGCGGTACGTCAAGCAGTACGTGAGGCGGTACGTCAGGCGGTACGTCAAGCGGCACGTCAAGCAGTACGTCAGGCGGTACGTCAAGTGGTACGTGAGGCAGTACGTGAGGCGGTACGTCAGGCGGTACGTGAGGCAGTACGTGTGGCGGTACGTCAAGCGGTACGTGTGGCGGTACGTCAAGCGGTACGTCAAGCGGTACGTCAAGCGGTACGTCAGGCGGTACGTCAAGCAGTACGTCAAGCGGTACGTCAAGTGATAAGTCAGGCAGTACGTCGGGCGGTACGTGAGGCAGTACGTCAGGCGGTACGTCAAGCGGTACGTCAGGCGGTACGTGAGGCAGTACGTCAAGCGGTACGTCAAGCAGTACGTCAAGCGGTACGTCAAGCGGTACGTCAAGCAGTACGTCAGGCAGTACGTCAGGCAGTACGTCAAGCGGCACGTCAAGTGGCCCTCCAAGCCGTCGTCCCCACGGAGGAACGCGCACGGAGACGCCGCCGCCGGCCACCGCTAAAGGAGCAAAATCAACGGCCTCGTGCGACAGGCGAGCCCGAGTCACTGCGCGGCAAGACCAACTTCCACCCGTCCTGCCACAGCATGCCCAGCTCACACAGATGCCAAGAGACGTTTTAAAAACGTTACAACATAAAGAGAGAGCGAGGAAGGAGCGAGTGAGCGAGGCGAGAGGCGAGGTGGGATCGGCAGCCATTGGTGAAGGCCGCGAATGTCGGCGCTGACGACGCTGGCGTCAGCGCCGACCTGAGGCGATGGGACCGGGAGCGAAGCGAGCTGGGGGGCCTCCGTGAGGGGGAGTTTGTGGGGACAGCAACAAGGGCTCAGCTGGGGGGGGACTCACTCGAGTCGGCGTCTTCGTCTCTCTGTGTGCGAGTTTCCTGCGCTGCGTCTCGCTAGGTTCCTTCAGCGATGGCGGCGCGTGGCGATTCTCGACTATCGCGTCGATTCCCGGCGCACTCGACTCTCGGACGATTCTCGATTCTGCGTGGCGGGTTTTTTTCTCTCTCTCTCAGATTCCACTCGCGATTCGGTGCCCCCGCCCACTCAGAACCGAGCCCCGCCCCCACTCAGACCAGAGCCCCGCCCATTCAGACCCGAGCCCCGCCCACTGAGGCACGGGCTCCGTCCACTGAGACCCGGGCCCCCCCACCATCTCAAACCCGACCCCGCCCACTTAGACACGGGCCCCACCCACTCAGAGCCGGCCCCGCCCACATAGACCCGGCCCCGCCCACTGAGACCCGGACCCGCCCACTGAGGCCTGGGCCCCACTCACTCAGAGACCCGACCCCGCCTACTGACCCGAGCCCCGCCCACTCAGACCCAGGCCCAACCCACTAAGACCCGGCCCCGCCCACCTGAGACCCGGGCCCCGCCCACTGAGACTCGGGCCCCGCCCACTGAGACCAGGGTCTTGCCAAATCAGACCCGGGCCCAACCCACTAAGACTCGGCCCCGCCCACTGAGATCCGGGCCCCGCCCACTGAGACCAGGGTTCCGCCCACTAAGACCAGGGCCCTGCCTCATCAGACCCAAGCCCCACTTACTCAGACCCGACCCCGCCCACTCAAACACGGCCCCACCCACTGAGACACGGCCCCGCCCACTGAGACCCGGGCCCCGCCCACTGAGACACGGGTCCTGCCCACTGAGACCAGGCCCCGCCCAATAAGACCCGGCCCCACCCACTGAGTCCCGGGCCTGGCCCACTGAGGCTGGAGTTCCGCCCACTCAGACCAGAGCCCCGCCCATTCAGACCCGAGCCCCGCCCACTGAGGCACGGGCTCCGTCCACTGAGACCCGGGCCCCCCCACCATCTCAAACCCGACCCCGCCCACTTAGACACGGGCCCCACCCACTCAGAGCCGGCCCCGCCCACATAGACCCGGCCCCGCCCACTGAGACCCGGACCCGCCCACTGAGGCCTGGGCCCCACTCACTCAGAGACCCGACCCCGCCTACTGACCCGAGCCCCGCCCACTCAGACCCAGGCCCAACCCACTAAGACCCGGCCCCGCCCACCTGAGACCCGGGCCCCGCCCACTGAGACTCGGGCCCCGCCCACTGAGACCAGGGTCTTGCCAAATCAGACCCGGGCCCAACCCACTAAGACTCGGCCCCGCCCACTGAGAACCGGGCCCCGCCCACTGAGACCAGGGTTCCGCCCACTAAGACCAGGGCCCTGCCTCATCAGACCCAAGCCCCACTTACTCAGACCCGACCCCGCCCACTCAAACACGGCCCCACCCACTGAGACACGGCCCCGCCCACTGAGACCCGGGCCCCGCCCACTGAGACACGGGTCCTGCCCACTGAGACCAGGCCCCGCCCAATAAGACCCGGCCCCACCCACTGAGTCCCGGGCCTGGCCCACTGAGGCTGGAGTTCCGCCCACTCAGACCAGGACCCCCGCCCACAGAGATCTGGCCCCGCCCACTGAGGCCGGGGCCCCGCCTACTCAGACCAGGACCCCGCCCACTGAGACCCCGCCCACTTCTGCAGTGAGCGCCGCTCAGCCGTCGATTCTGGCTCAGCGCGACGCCTCAACAGCGGTGGGTGGCATCGCCTATTGTCAATAATCTATCAATAATCTATCAATTATCTATCAATAATCTATTATCTATCAATAATCTATCAATTATCTATCAATGATCTATCAATTATCTATTATCTATATATTGTCTATTGTCTATCTATTGTCTGTATATTGTCTATTGTCTGTCTATTGTCAATTATCTATCAATAATCTATCAATAATCTATTATCTATCAATAATCTATCAATTATCTATCAATGATCTATCAATGATCTATCAATTATCTATTATCTATATATTGTCCATTGTCTATATATTGTCTGTCTATTGTCTATTGTCTGTCTCGTGTCTATTGTCTATTATCTATTGTCTATTGTCTGTCCATTGTCTATCTATTGTATATCTATTGTCTGTCTATTATCGATTGTCTATCTATTGTGAATTATTTATCAATAATCTATCAATTATCTAGTATCTATCAATGATCTATTATCTATATATTGTCTATTGTCTATCTATTGTCTGTCCATTGTCTATCTATTGTCTATTGTCTATCTATTGTCTATTGTCTATCTATTTCTATTGTCTGTCTATTGTCTATCTATTATCTATTGTCTATCTATTGTCTATTGTCTATCTATTGTATATTGTCTATCTATTGTCTATCTATTGTCTGTCTATTGTCTATTGTCTGTCTATTGTCTATTGTCTGTCTATTGTATATCTATTGTCCATTGTAAGACTATTGTCTATCTATTGTGTATTGTCTATCTATTGTCTATTGTCTATCTATTGTCTATTGTCTATCTATTGTCTATCTATTGTATATCTATTGTCCATTGTAAGACTATTGTCTATCTATTGTGTATTGTCTATCTATTGCTATTGTCTATCTATTGTCTATCTATTGTCTATATATTGTCTATCTATTGTCTGTCTATTATCTATTGTGTATCTATTGTATATCTATTGTCTAATGTCTGTCTATTGTCTATCTATTGTGTATTGTATATCTATTATCTATTGTCTATCTATTGCCTGTCTATTATCTATTGTGTATCTATTGTATATCTATTGTCTAATGTCTGTCTATTGTCTATCTATTGTGTATTGTATATCTATTATCTATTGTCTATATATTGCCTGTCTATTATCTATTGTGTATCTATTGTATATCTATTGTCTAATGTCTGTCTATTGTCTATCTATTGTGTATTGTATATCTATTATCTATTGTCTATATATTGCCTGTCTATTATCTATTGTGTATCTATTGTATATCTATTGTCTAATGTCTGTCTATTGTCTATCTATTATCTATTGTCTATCTAGTGTCTATCTATTGTCTATTGTCTGTCTATTGTCTATCTATTGTCTATTTATTGTCTGTATATTGTTTATCTATTGTCTGTCTATTGTCTATTGTCTGTCTATTGTCTATTGTCTGTCTATTGTCTATCTATTGTCTATCTATTGTCTGTCTAGTGTCTATCTATTGTCTATTTATTGTCTGTATATTGTTTATTTAGTGTCTATTGTCTGTCTATTGTCTATCTATTGTCTGTCTATTGTCTATCTATTGTGTATTGTATATCTATTATCTATTGTCTATATATTGTCTATAGTATATATTATCTATTGTCTATCTAGTGTCTATCTATTGTCTATTGTCTGTATATTGTCTATTGTCTATCTATTGTCTATCTATTGTCTATTTATTGTCTGTATATTGTTTATATAGTGTCTATTGTCTGTCTAGTGTCTACTGTCTGTCTATTATATATTGACTGTCTATTGTCTATCTATTGTCTATTTATTGTCTGTATATTGTTTATTTAGTGTCTATTGTCTGTCTATTGTCTATCTATTGTCAGTCTAGTGTCTATCTATTGTCTATCTATTGTCTGTCTATTGTCTGTCTATTGTCTGTCTAGTGTCTATTGTCTGTCTATTTATTGTCTGTCTATTGTCTATTGTCTATCTATTGTCTATTTATTGTCTGTATATTGTTTATTTAGTGTCTATTGTCTGTCTATTGTCTGTCTTTTGTCTAGTGTCTATCTATTGTCTATCTATTGTCTGTCTATTGTCTGTCTAGTGTCTATTGTCTGTCTATTATATATTGTCTGTCTATTGTCTATCTATTGTCTATCTATTGTCTGTCTATTGTCTGTCTATTGTCTATTGTCTGTCTATTATATATTGTCTGTCTATTGTCTATTGTCTATCTATTGTCTATTGTCTGTCTATTGTCTATCTATTGTCTATTGTCTGTCTATTGTCTATTGTCTGTCTATTGTCTATTGTCTATCTATTGTCTATTGTCTGTCTATTGTTTATCTATTGTCTATTGTCTGTCTATTGTCTATCTATTGTCTATTGTCTATCTATTGTATATTGTCTATCTATTGTCTATTGTCTGTCTATTGTCTATCTATTGTCTATTGTCTGTCTATTATATATTGTCTGTCTATTGTCTATTGTCTATCTATTGTCTATTGTCTGTCTATTGTATATCTATTGTCTATTGTCTGTCTATTGTCTATCTATTGTCTAGTGTCTATTGTCTATTGTATGTCTATTGTCTGTCTATTGTCTATCTATTGTCTATTGTCTGTCTATTGTCTATCTATTGTCTAGTGTCTATTGTCTATTGTATGTCTATTGTCTGTCTATTGTCTGTCTATTGTCTGTCTAGTGTCTATTGTCTGGCTATTATCTATTGTCTATCTAGTGTCTATCTATTGTCTATTGTCTATCTATAGTCTATTGTCTATCTATTGTCTATCTATTGTCTGTCTATTCTCTATCTATTGTCTGTCTATTGTCTATCTATTGTCTATTGTCTATCTATTGTCTAGTGTCTATTGTCTATCTAGTGTCTATTGTCTAGCGTCTATTGTCTGTCTATTGTCTATTGTCTGTCTATTGTCTATCTATTATATATTGTCTGTCTATTGTCTATATATTGTCTATAGTATATATTATCTATTGTCTATCTAGTGTCTATCTATTGCCTATTGTCTGTCTATTGTCTATTGTCTATCTATTGTCTGTCTATTGTCTATTGTCTGTCTATTGACTATCTATTGTCTATCTATTGTCTATTGTATGTCTATTGTCTATATAGTGTCTATTGTCTATTGTCTATCTATTGTCTAGTGTCTGTCTATTGTCTATCTATTGTCTGTCTATTGTCTATTGTCTATCTAGTGTCTATCTAGTGTCTATTGTCTATCTATTGTCTAACGCCTCCCACGTGACACCTGTGACGCTGATTCACTTTCTAAGGCCTCCCACGTGACACCTGTGACGCTGATTCACTTTCTAAGGCCTCCCACGTGACAGCTGTGACGCTGATTCACTTTCTAACGCCTCCCACGTGACAGCTGTGACGCTGATTCACTTTCTAACTCCTCCCACGTGACACCTGTGACGCTGATTCACTTTCTAAGGCCTCCCACGTGACAGCTGTGACGCTGATTCACTTTCTAACGCCTCCCACGTGACAGCTGTGACGCTGATTCACTTTCTAACTCCTCCCACGTGACACCTGTGACGCTGATTCACTTTCTAACGCCTCCCACGTGACACCTGTGACGCTGATTCACTTTCTAACTCCTCCCACGTGACACCTGTGACGCTGATTCACTTCCTAACGCCTCCCACGTGACAACTGTGACGCTGATTCACTTTCTAACGCCTCCCACGTGACAACTGTGACGCTGATTCACTTTCTAACGCCTCCCACGTGACATCTGTGACGCTGATTCACTTTCTAACGCCTCCCACGTGACAGCTGTGACGCTGATTCACTTTCTAACGCCTCCCACGTGACAGCTGTGACGGTGATTCACTTTCTAACGCCTCCCACGTGACAGCTGTGACGCTGATTCACTGTCTAACGCCTCCCACGTGACTCCTGTGACGCTGATTCACTTTCTAACTCCTCCCACGTGACACCTGTGACGCGATTCACTTTCTAACGCCTCCCACGTGACAGCTGTGACGCTGATTCACTTTCTAACGCCTCCCACGTGACACCTGTGACGCTGATTCACTTTCTAACGCCTCCCACGTGACAGCTGTGACGCTGATTCACTTTCTAACGCCTCCCACGTGACAACTGTGACGCTGATTCACTTTCTAACGCCTCCCACGTGACAGCTGTGACGGTGATTCACTTTCTAACGCCTCCCACGTGACAGCTGTGACGCTGATTCACTGTCTAACGCCTCCCACGTGACTCCTGTGACGCTGATTCACTTTCTAACTCCTCCCACGTGACACCTGTGACGCGATTCACTTTCTAACGCCTCCCACGTGACAACTGTGACGCTGATTCACTTTCTAACGCCTCCCACGTGACTCCTGTGAGGCTGATTCACTTTCTAACGCCTCCCACGTGACAGCTGTGACGCTGATTCACTTTCTAACGCCTCCCACGTGACACTGTTGCACGCGTTGGGCAATTCGCGTCGGAGGAATGGTGGCGGTGCCTTGCGGGGTTTGTTAAACACGACGGAACTTTTGATAGCGAAGTCGTTTTGGGAGGTGAATCATCGCCTCGACCTCTGGGCGCTGGGTGGGGCGGCGCTCCATCGCCCCCTAGTGGGCGAACCGCGCCTGGCTACTGCTGCTGATGGTGGTGCTGATGGTGGTGCTGATGATGGTGGTGCTGATGGTGTGATGGTGCTGATGGTGCTGATGATAATGATGATGGTGCTGATGATAATGCTGATGGTGGTGCTGATGATGGTGTGATGGTGCTGATGATGGTGCTGATGATGCTGATAGTGCTGATGGTGGTGCTGATGATGGCGCTGATGGTGCTGATGGTGGTGCTGATGATGGCGCTGATGGTGCTGATGGTGGTGCTGATGGTGGTGCTGATGGTGCTGATGATAATGCAGATAGTGCTGATGGTGGTGCTGATGGTGGTGCTGATGGTGGTGCTGATGGTGGTGCTGATGGTGCTGATGATAATGCAGATAGTGCTGATGGTGGTGCTGATGGTGGTGCTGATGGTGGTGCTGATGCTGGCGCTGATGGTGGTGCTGATGGTGCTGATGGTGCTGATGATGTTGATGGTGGTGCTGATGATGGTACTGATGGTGCTGATGATGTTGATGGTAGTGCTGATGGTGGTGCTGATGATGGTGATGGTGGTGCTGATGATGGTGTTGATGGTGGTGATGATAATGATGATGATGGTGTTGATGGTGGTGCTGATGGTGGTGCTGATGGTGCTGATGGTGGTGCTGATGATGCTGCTGATGATGCTACTGCTGATGATGATGCTGCTGATGATGCCTCTGCTGATGACGATGCTGCTGCTGATGATGATGCTGCTGATGATGCTGATGATGCCTCTGCTGCTGATGATGATGCTGCTGATGATGCTACTGCTGCTGATGATGCTGCTGCCCACAGAACCATGCACGAGGAGGCATTGCTGCTGCAGTTCAACTCCCTGCACTTCTGGAAGCTGCCGCTCCCGGAGATCGGCTCCGACGACCTCCAGACAATCGGTGAGTGAGAGAGGGAGAGAGGGTGGGAGTGTGTGACAGAGAGAGTTTGTGTGGGGAGCGGTGGCTAGGAGATGTTTACTGTCTCGCCTGGCATGCAGGAGGTCGTGGATTCCATTCCGACCCTGACGATGCCTGCTGCTGCTGCTGTATATTTCGAGTTTGCATCTCTCTCTCGTCATCATCACAGTGGCTATGAGATGTTGACTACCTCGCCTGGTACACAGGTGGTCCTGGGTTCGATTCCGACCCTGACGCCTGCTGCTGTATATTTGGAGTTTGCGTGTCTCTCTCTCTTATCATCACGGTGGCTATGAGATGTTGACTACCTCGCCTGATATACAGGAGGTCGTGGGTTCAATCCCGACCTTAACAATGCCTGCTGCTGCTGCTGTAGATGTGGAGTCTGCGTGTGTCTCTCCCCGTGGTGGTCACTGCGTGGATTTGTCTCCGGGTCTTCTGTTCTTTCCTTTCACATTGAGAATCGACACCATGCGTTTTGAAACCATTCCGATTATTTGGTCTGCAAAATATTTCCACGTGACTTACCCACTTTTGTGTGAGCTGCGATCATTTGTGGCCGCTTCTGAACAATAAGTGAATTAGCTCAGTGGGGCTTTGCCTGGGGTAGGATGGGTGGATGATTTTAGTGTTGCCTCTGTACTTAAGTGTGGGTGTCTGTAAGTGTGAGAGTGCGTCCAGCAAAACAACCCCCTACCTCCTTGTTGGTGCCGGACGGTGCCATGGGGGGAGGGCCAATTTCGATTGGCCATTCCCCTCATGGCGTTTGTAGCCACTGCAGCAGCCAAAGGGGGGCTCTGGACGGGTGCGAGGGGCTGGTAACCCCTCCACCTTCAATTAATTACCACTAAACCACGTGAAAAATATCCAGCTAAGCGTGTGCCAGAGTCCCCGGAGGGACAGGCATCTATGCCGTCTCCTGGCCAAACGGTATTTGGCGGAGCCAGGAGACTGAATCCTTACCCTTCGGGTTCCTCCAGAAACAGCAAAAAAACACTTCGTGTAGCCACGTGGAATGTTCGAACGCTCACTGCGGAGGAGAGGCTGCCACTCCTCTGTCGGGAGCTGGACCGGTACCGCCTGGATCTCTGTGATATTCAGGAGGTCCGGTGGACCGGTTCTGGCTCCTGCCACCATGAGGGGTGGATGGTCCTCTACTCGGGGCAGCAGACTTCCAAACAACAGAGAGTGGCTCTTCTTCGGAACAAAAGAATGAAGGGGGCGTGGGAGCGTGGCAGTGAGGTGTGGGAAGCTGTTAGCCCTAGGCTACTTTAGGCTCGCCTTCCCATCAACCAGAGGCAAGGAGTGGTGGTCGTGGTTACTTATGCCCCCACTGAAGATGAACATCAGTGGAGGGATGCAGGCAAAGCTGATGAGTCAGATGCCTTCTATGACCTCCTGTCACAGGTGCTGGCTAAAGTGGCCCCTCGGGATAGAGTCATCATGTTGCGTGACTTTAATGCCTGAGTTGGTCATGATGCTGGCACCTGGTCTGGAGTGATTGGAAGGCATGTGCCAGATCAGCTCAATAACAACAGTAGGAGGCTGCTAGAATTTTTGTGCAGCCCATGGGCTTGTAATTACCAACACGCTGTTCTGGCATCGGCACATCCACGAAACATCATGGATGCATGCCGGGTCCAAGCAAGAACATCTGCTGGACTATATAGTGATGAAACAGCGGATCCGGGTCCATGTCCTTGACACCAGGACCTACCGTGGAGCTGATCTGCCCACTGATCATCGACTTGTCATCTGTAAGATGTGCCTGCCATTCTTCCACTCCGGTGGTGGGTGTCCATCTAGGTCTCTGTTCAAACCCATAGTGGCATGGTCTCAGCTAGCTGATGAAAGTTGAAAGCGAGAATTTCATCATCACTTGTGGCTGGGGTTGGCATCATCCCCCAGTCTTGATGTTGAGGGTAAATGGGTGAGGTTTAGGACTGTGGCTCATGCAGCTGCAGTGGCTGCGTTGGGTACACGGTCCAGACCTCCCCAGAGACCCTGGCTGACAGTGGAGGTGTTCAGGCTGGCTGAGAAAAAGCGACAGGCCCACTGTCATCGGCTACAGAATCCCACGTCAGAGAATGAGGAGGCTTTACCGCAGCCTTCGCTCGGAGGTTCGGAGAGCCGTGAGGCGCTGCAAGGATGGGTGGTGGTCGCGGGTTGCTGAGGAGATGGAATCTGCCTCATTGCCCTGCGATCACAAATCACTCTTTAATTCCATCAAAAAAGTAACTTGCAGCACCACCCCTATCACCATCATTAGGAGAAAAATGGTGATCCAATCTCTGACCACCGGGAACACGTTTGCAGATTTGCTGAGCATTTCTGTGAGGTCCTGGGGGAGGGTAAATCCCTCAGCCTGGAAAACATCATGGGACAAAGTGGGGATGACCCTGCTGAGGCTGCGGTGCATCAAATATTGGAAGAGGAAGTCACCCCCTGTGAGTGGCTGGCTAAAGTGACATTTGTTGAGGAAGTACTGAAGGCGATCCAGAGTCTGAGACCAGGAAAGGCATCGGGCAGAGATGATTTCCCAAGACAAATTCTGAGGGAGGGTGGCGTTTGTGCACAGAATGCTCTAGATGACATAATAAGTCTGGACCACTGCACGGGTTCCGCAGGATTGGAAGGATGCCCTGGTGGTTCCCCTCTTTAAGAAGGGGGACCGCACAGTATGTAACAACTACAGGGGCATCTCACTCCTCAGTGTGCCGGGAAAGGTCCTGGCAAGGATTATTCAACACCGCCTTGCCAGGCACGCTGAGGAGAGGCTTGCCAGAGCCCCAATGTGGTTTCAGAAAAGGGCGGTCCTGCACAGATGCCATATTTCCTGTCCGTCTGCTACAGCAGAGATGTAGGAAATCCCAACAAGACCTACATCTCTGCTTTATGTACCTTGTCAAGGCCTATGATATCATCAGTTGGCCTGGGATCTGGGTTGTTCTTTGTGATTTCGGAGTCCCTGACCCTCTGCTCACGATCATTGAGGACCTTCATGATGGTGAGCGGGCCCAAGTAAAACTGCGTGGCTGGGAGTCGGAGCCATTCCCTGTTCACCTTGGGGTGCGACAGGGATGTCCTCTGACTCCCACATTATTCAACATCTACTTTGACCACGTAGTTCGTGAAGCCTTCCATGGCCCTACCGTAGGAATTTCCATCTGGTACAGATACAATGGGAGGCTGATCAATGGATGGCTCCCTATTGGTCAACCCTGTTATGTATGCCGATGATATGGTAATTGCTGCTCACCGGAGCGTGTCACTAAGAGGTGGGGCCTTACCAGCAGCCCCACCAAACTAAGGACTTGCCTGGGTATTTTGTACCATCAAACACTCCACGCCCACTCCCAATTGGTGATGGGGCAGTTATGTAGAGAGTGGAGAGTTTCCCATACCTGGGCAGTGTGCTCATGACCGGCTCTGGTTTGAAAGCAGAGGTCTCACTCCGAATCAGTCGAGCGGCAATATCTTTCCGTCGGTTGCGTAACGCTGTGTGGAAGCTACCTGGTCTGTCGTTCCGCACTAAGCTTCAGGTCTTCTCGGCCACACCCCTAATGGAACATCTTCCCCGGTTAGAAACATTTAGGCTGGCCTGCCTACGATCCATCCTGGGTTTAACCAGACTGGATTGTGTGAGGAGCTCACAAATCCTTGAAAGATCTGGGCAAGGTCCCATCGGTGAGCTCCTCCGGCGGGCAAGGCTGCGTTGACTGGGCCATGTAGCCCACATGCCCAGCCACCGCATGCCGAAACAGCTTTTGTTCGGCCGGATTGAGGGGGCTAAGCGGGCGCGGCACGGGCTAGAGAAGAGATGGAGTGATGTGGTACAGGAGGACGTGGAGCTGAGTGGACTTGCCGATGACTGGTACCAGCGGTGTCAAGATCGGCCTCTGTGGAGGAGGCTCGTGAAGGACTCTACTGGGCAGTTGGAGGCAGTCGCCCTCCAACAACAACGGAGGGCGGAGGAGCGACGCTCACAACAACGAGCGGAGCGCCGGGTGGCTAAAGCACAGCAGGTTGGCACAGTAGGGGGCACAGGTGGTGCACCAGCCAGTCATCTCAGTCAGTCGACCCGTGGCACCTGGGTCTGCCCCGTGACCTCCTGCCAGCGGGCGTTCGACACTTCACGTGGCCTCAGGGTGCACATAGCCTGGCACAAGCGTCGTGGTGACGTCACCGCCACTTAGTGGCGAATGGCGGTGGTTGTTGTTGTTGTGTGTCTGTAAATGCGTGCGCGTGTTCGTAAGTCGCTGTCCGTATCTCTCCATCTCCGTCTGTTCCTCTGTGTCTGGACCTCTCTCTCTCTCCCTTGCTGTCCCTCTCCCTACAGGCGACCCCCACCAAGGGACCAGCCCCCCCCCATCTCCCCCTCCTCCCGTGCCCCCAGGCCGTGCCCCCCACCCCGGCGTGGCCCCCGCCGAGTCGACTCCGCGGATCGCCGCGTCCGCCCCCCACGACTTCGGCACGGCCACCTACTGGCGGCGACCGCTGCCCACGCTCGACCCGGCCGAGATGGATCGGCTGATGGCGGGAAGGGGGCCCGGGGAGGCTCGCGGCGGGGGGCGGGGCTGAGGAGGGAGGGAGGGAGGGGTCAGGGGGTCGCGATCACGTGATCGTGTCACGTGATCGCGTCACGTGATCGCGTCACGTGATCACAACGCGCAGCGTTAGAAGGAGAACAGCGGACAGAACAGGGTGGGTCCAGATGTCTTGTGCCCTCCCCCCCCCCGCCAGAGTATTTATTTATTTATTTAACGTAATTTTTCGGTAAATATCTCCCTTGTTTTTTCACGGTGGCTAGGAGATGTTAACTACCTCGCCTGGTACACAGGAGGTCGTGGGTTCCATCCCGGACCCTGACGATGCCTGAGTGAGTGGGTGAGATGTTAACTACCTCGCCTGGTACCCAGGAGGTCGTGGGTTCCATCCTGGACCCTGACGATGCCTGAGTCAGTGGGTGAGATGTTAACTACCTCGCCAGATACACAGGAGGTCGTGGGTTCCATCGCGGACCCTGACGATGCCTGAGTCAGTGGGTGAGATGTTAACTACCTCGCCAGGTACACAGGAGGTCGTGGGTTCCATCCCGGAACCTGACGATGCCTGAGTGAGTGGATGAGATGTTAACTACCTCGCCAGGTACACAGGAGGTCGTGGGTTCCATCCCGGACCCTGACGATGCCTGAGTGAGTGGGTGAGATGTTAACTACCTCGCCAGGTACACAGGAGGTCGTGGGTTCCATCCCGGACCCTGACGATGCCTGAGTGAGTGGGTGAGATGTTAACTACCTCGCCTGGTACACAGGAGGTCGTGGGTTCCATCCCGGACCCTGACGATGCCTGAGTGAGTGGGTGAGATGTTAACTACCTCGCCAGGTACACAGGAGGTCGTGGGTTCCATCCCGGACCCTGACGATGCCTGAGTGAGTGGGTGAGATGTTAACTACCTCGCCTGGTACACAGGAGGTCGTGGGTTCCATCCCGGAACCTGACGATGCCTGAGTGAGTGGGTGAGATGTTAACTACCTTGCCTGGTGGACAGGAGGTCGTGGGTTCCACACACACACACAATAATAGTTTATAGTTTCTAACATCCACACACACAATACTAGTTTATAGTTTCTAACATACACACACACAATACTAGTTTATAGTTTATAACACACACACACAATACTAGTTTATAGTTTCTAACATCCACACACACAATACTAGTTTATAGTTTCTAACATACACACACACACAATACTAGTTTATAGTTTCTAACATCCACACACACAATACTAGTTTATAGTTTATAACATCCACACACACAATACTAGTTTATAGATTCTAACACCCACACACACAATACTAGTTTATAGTTTCTAACATCCACACACACAATACTAGTTTAAAGTTTCTAACATCCACACACACAATACTAGTTTATAGTTTCTAACATCCACACACACAATACTAGTTTATAGTTTATAACACACACACAATACTAGTTTATAGTTTCTAACACCCACACACACAATACTAGTTTATAGTTTCCAACATCCACACACACAATACTAGTTTATAGTTTCTAACATCCACACACACAATACTAGTTTATAGTTTCTAACACCCACACACACAATACTAGTTTATAGTTTCCAACATCCACACACACAATACTAGTTTTTAGTTTCTAACATCCACACACACAATACTAGTTTATAGTTTATAACACACACAATACTAGTTTTTAGTTTCTAACACACACACAATACTTGTTTATAGTTTCTAACACACACACAATACTAGTTTTTAGTTTCTAACATCCACACACACAATACTAGTTTATAGTTTCTAAAATCCACACACACACAATACTAGTTTATAGTTTATAACACACACACAATACTTGTTTATAGTTTCTAACACACACACAATACTAGTTTTTAGTTTCTAACATCCACACACACAATACTAGTTTATAGTTTCTGACATCCACACACACAATACTAGTTTATAGTTTATAACATCCACACACACAATACTAGTTTATAGTTTATAACATCCACACACACAATACTAGTTTAAAGTTTCTAACACCCACACACACAATACTAGTTTATAGTTTATAATATCCACACACAATACTAGTTTATAGTTTCTAACATCCACACACAATACTAGTTTATAGTTTCTAACATCCACACACACAATACTAGTTTATAGTTTATAACATCCACACACACACAATACTAGTTTATAGTTTCTAACACCCACACACACAATACTAGTTTATAGTTTATAACATCCACACACAATACTAGTTTATAGTTTATAACACCCACACACACAATACTAGTTTATAGTTTCTAACACCCACACACACAATACTAGTTTATAGTTTCCAACACCCACACACAATACTAGTTTATAGTTTCTAATATCCACACACACAATACTAGTTTATAGTTTCCAACACACACACAATACTAGTTTATAGTTTCTAACATCCACACACACAATACTAGTTTATAGTTTCTAACACACACACACACAATACTAGTTTATAGTTTCTAACATCCACACACACAATACTAGTTTATAGTTTCTAACATCCACACACACAATACTAGTTTATAGATTCTAACATCCACACACACAATACTAGTTTATAGTTTATAACATCCACACACACACAATACTAGTTTATAGTTTCTAATATCCACACACACAATACTAGTTTATAGTTTCCAACACACACACAATACTAGTTTATAGTTTCTAACACACACACACAATACTAGTTTATAGTTTCTAACATCCACACACACAATACTAGTTTATAGTTTATAACATCCACACACACACACAATACTAGTTTATAGTTTCTAACATACACACACAATACTAGTTTATAGTTTATAACACCCACACACACAATACTAGTTTATAGTTTATAACATCCACACACACAATACTAGTTAGAGTCTCTATGGGTCTCTGTGGGTCTTCATGAGTATGAGTCTCTATGGGTCTCTGTGGGTCTCTATGAGTTAGAGTCTCTATGGTTCTCTGTGGCTCTCTATGAGTTAGAGTCTATATGGCTCTCTGTGGGTCTCTATGAGTTAGAGTCTCTATGGGTCTCTGTGGCTCTCTATAAGTACGAGTCTCTATTGGTCTCTGTGGGTCTCTATGAGTTAGAGTCTCTATGGGTCTCTGTGGGTCTCTATAAGTTAGAGTCTCTATGGGTCTCTGTGGGTCTCTATGAGTTAGAGTCTCTATGGGTCTCTGTGGGTCTCTATGAGTTAGAGTCTCTATGGGTCTCTGTGGGTCTCTATGAGTTAGAGTCTCTATGGCTCTCTGTGGGTCTCTATGAGTTAGAGTCTCTATGCGTCTCTGTGGGTATCTATAAGAAGGTGACCCCACGTGCCCTGGCTGTAGCGAACACAGAGGTGGCGGGCAGGCAGGCGGGCGGGCGGGCAAATGGCGATTGTTTAGCTTGCAATGACTCTCAGACAATACAAAATAAATGATTAAGAACAATGTTGTCGTTTTATTACCTTCGATGATGATGATGGTGATGGATTTGTCGACGACGCTGAAGGTAGATTTAAAGCTTTCGTGACTGCAAGGATCCATACTCTCTGGTTCTATTCGGTAAAGTCACGTAGGTAAAAAATAAAACAACAAAAATCACGACGTTTCGGCCACAACACAAGCGGCCTTCATCAGGTGAAGGGATCAGGCTGTCTCGAGGACAGCGCTGGAGTGAAACACAGCCACGCTCAGACCGCGACCTTTAAGCTGTGTGCGAGGAAACAAGGTGCCTTGACAAAGGAATTAGCATAAAAATTAGCATTTGATTGGCCGACTTAGCATAGAGGTGGTGTACATGCAAGTGGACTTGCTGTTTGGCGTGGGGGGGGGGGGAGTTTACCTATTGATGGTGTGAAAAGGGAAATTTTAAGAGCTGCGAAAGTTTGGGGTACCACTACTTATAAAAGATACTGTACCATTGAAAATTAGTTTAATGTTTGGTTCGATCTAGAACATCTTTCCAATGGTTGCTTAATTTGAAACCATCTTCTCGGTTGCAATTTGTCTGTGATTGTAGATCTGAATTGCCTCGTGAACAAATCTCTGATAAAAACCCGTGGGTTTGCAGAGGACCTTGGTATCGGAGAAAATTATATCGTGATCACCCACAGCGTTGTAACAGTGATCAGCTACGGCAGAAGAATTCGTTTTGCCGTGTTTCAAATCTGATTTGTGCTCGCGAATTCGGTCAGAGACATGTCGCTTTGTCTCCCCGATATAGCAATCACCGCAGGTACAACTCAATTTGTAAACCCCGGGGTACTGTAAGTCAGGAATGACATCCTTCACAGATGGGATCAGATCACGAATTTTGTGTACTGTATTGAACCGGACCTGGATCTTGTTTTTGTTTAGAATTTTGGAAATCTTTTTAGTAACGCCTGCTATATATGGTAGTGTGATGGTTTTGACCGGAGTATCAAGTGGTTGTTTCTGTATGGAGGGAGAAACAGCTTGGTGGATGGTACGGTCAGAGTATCCATTCCTTTTGAGGGCCAGGTGTACATGTTTTAATTCACTGATCAGGTGGTGTTGGTCCGAAATGCAATGAGCCCTATGGTATAAAGTTTTGATGAGATAATTCTTTTGGGCTGGGTGGTGGTGGGAATCAGGTTTCAAGTAGGAATCTGTGTGGGTGGGTTTCCTGTAGACAGAATGCCCCAATGAGCCATCAGGTCTCCTCTCAAACAGAACATCTAAGAATGGTAGCTTGCCATCTTTCTCCACTTCCATGGTGAATTTGATGGCGGGATGTCTGGAATTGAAGTAGTGTAGGAAAAGGTTCAGAGCTGGGAGGCCATGTGACCAAATGACGAAAGTGTCATCCACATATCTCTTCCACAGGGAAGGTCTGAGGGTGGAAGTCTGGATGGCGTCTGATTCAAATTTCTCCATGAAAATATTGGCTATCACTGGTGACAAGGGGGATCCCATGGGGGTACCCTCATTTTGTTTGTAGAAGGAGCCATTCCAAGTAAAGTAGGTATTGGTTGAGGCAGTGCCTAACCAGTGCAGGTGTATCGGGGTCTAGTCCATGTTGCACCAAATTTTCAATTATTTCAATGGTATCAGGTACTGGGACCTTGGTGAACAAAGAGACCACATCGAAGCTGACAAGGATATCGTCAAGCTTCATTCACGCGACAAACCTCCTTGCCAATTGGCCGTGTCGGATGGTGGCGGCCTTTAACGGCACAGCACTCACGCAGTGCGGAGCCTGTCGCATGACGTTAGAAAGTGGCCCTAAATAAATAAAACCACGTAAGTATTAAAACACGTAAAATGTTTAACTTGCACAGTAAAGTAATTGTATTTTTTCATTTGCTATAC